TGGAATAAATATTACATGATCATGGATTGGAAATGAAATTACTACAGGTCAAGCTTTGCAGCAATATAAATCATCTTTTGAATTGCTGGGACAGAATAATCCTGGAGTCAGGTCACAGTTGAGGTTGTTCCTAACAGGATATGATCTAGTCAGGAATTGGTATCCATCAGCAACCCGGGACGCATCACAATGGCCTTCTATATATATAGCAATAACAACTGGCCAGACGACGCCTGCTGCTCAATCTAATTCCCAGATTTTATTAAGCTTCTTATTGGGATATATTGTTTATAAATCTATCCAAGATCACTGTAAACAGAAATGCTGAATTCCAATAGTTGTTTAGCCTCAGCATCAATCTCCTCAACGTTTGTTTGTTTTGATCATGGTGATAAATGTTTTTCTAACAGTATATACAAAGAATATGTACCTATTTAGTAAGACACCTCATTAAGCTCTAATCTTTTTACTTCACCCCTCTTATCTAATTATGTACAGAGATCTTCTCCGCCCTGCCACCTTACCTATGTATGACAGGTGATGTAAAATTGACCCCAACTGATCTCCTCTTGTCCCCATCTTGTCACACCTTTCACCGTATTGTCCCCTCTTGTCATCCAATCTTCTTTTCATCCCCTTTTACTATTATCCCTCATCTCACAGTGTCCATGTCATGATTTGCTCTTATCCCTCTTGTCCTTCTAGATCTTTTGTCACCCCCTTATACCTCTTGTCTTTTGTTGTCCAACCCTGACATCTCTTGTCCTTTTCTTGTCCAACCCTTATACCTCTTGTCCTTTTCTTGTCCAACCCTTACTTCTCTTGTCCTTTTCTTGTCCAACCCTTACACCTCTTGTCCTTTTCTTGTCCAACCCTTAAACCTCTTGTCCTTTTCTTGTCCAACCCTTACACCTCTTGTCCTTTCTTGTCCAACCCTTACACCTCTTGTTCTTTTCTTGTCCAACCCTTACACCTCTTGTTATTTTCTTGTCCAACCCTTACACCACTTGATCCTTTCTTGTCCAACCCTTACACCTCTTGCCCTGTTCTTGTCCAACCCTTACACCTCTTGTCCTTTCTTGTCCAACCCTTACTTCTCTTGTCCTTTCTTGTCCAACCCTTACCCCTCTTGTCCTTTTCTTGTCCAACCCTTACACCTCTTGCCCTTTTCTTGTCCAACCCTTACACCTCTTGCCCTGTTCTTGTCCAACCCTTACACCTCTTGTCCTTTCTTGTCCAACCCTTACCCTTCTTTATCCTTTCTTGTCCAACCCTTACACCTCATGTCCTTTCTTGTCCAACCCTTACACCTCTTGTCCTTTCTTGTCCAACCCTTACCCTTCTTTATCCTTTCTTGTCCAACCCTTCCCCCTCTTGATCCTTTCTTGTCCAACCCTTACACCTCTTGCCCTTTTCTTGTCCAAACCTTATACCTCTAGATCCTTTCTTGTCCAACCCTTCCACCTCTTGATCCTTTCTTGTCCAACCCTAACACCTCTTGTTCCTTTCTTGTCAAACCCTTACACCTCTTGTCCTTTTCTTATCACACCTACCTCTCCTGTCACACCTACCTGTCTTGTCCCTATCTTGTTATACCTCCCTGTCTTGTCCCTTTCTTATCACCCCTACCTCTCCTGTCACACCTACCTGTCTTGTCCCTATCTTGTCTTGTCACACCTATCTGTCTTGTCCCTATCTTTTTATACCTACCTGTCTTGTCCCTATCTTTCTTGTCCCTATCTTGTCTTGTCACACCTATCTGTCTTGTCCCTATCTTGTCTTGTCACACCTATCTGTCTTGTCCCTATCTTGTCTTGTCACACCTATCTGTCTTGTCCCTATCTTGTCTTGTCACACCTATCTGTCTTGTCCCTATCTTTCTTGTCCCTATCTTGTCACACCTATCTGTCTTGTCCCTATCTTTCTTGTCCCTATCTTGTCACACCTATCTGTCTTGTCCCTCTCTTGTGACACTTATCTGTCTTGTCCCTATCTTTTTATACCTACCTGTCTTGTCCCTATCTTATCACACCTACCTCTCCTGTCACACCTACCTGTCTTGTCCCTATCTTGTCTTGTCACACCTATCTGTCTTGTCCCTCTCTTGTGACACTTATCTGTCTTGTCCCTATCTTTCTTGTCCCTATCTTGTCACACCTATCCTTTCTTGTCAAACACTTCCATCTCTTGTCCTTTTCTTGTCAAACCCTAGATCCTTTCTTGTCAAACCCTAGATCCTTTCTTGTCAAACCCGCACTCCTCTTGCCCTTGTCTTGTCCAACCCTTACGCCTCTTGTCCTTTCTTGTACAACCCTAACATCTCTTGTCGTTTCTTGTCCAACCCTTCCACCTCTTGTCCTTTCTTTTCACACCTACCTGTCTTGTCCCTATCTTTTTATACCTACCTGTCTTGTCCCTATCTTGTCTTGTCACACCTATCTGTCTTGTCCCTATCTTGTCACACCTATCTGTCTTGTCCCTATCTTATCACACCTACCTATCTTGTCACATCTACCTGTCTTGTCCTTTCTTTTCACACCTACCTGTCTTGTCCCTATCTTTCTTGTCCCTATCTTGTCACACCTATCTGTCTTGTCCCTATCTTTCTTGTCCCTATCTTGTCACACCTATCTGTCTTGTCCCTCTCTTGTGACACTTATCTGTCTTGTCCCTATCTTTCTTGTCCCTATCTTGTCACACCTATCTGTCTTGTCCCTATCTTGTCTTGTCACACCTATCTGTCTTGTCCCTATCTTGTCTTGTCACACCTATCTGTCTTGTCCCTCTCTTGTGACACTTATCTGTCTTGTCCCTATCTTTCTTGTCCCTATCTTGTCTTGTCACACCTATCTGTCTTGTCCCTATCTTGTCACACCTATCTGTCTTGTCCCTATCTTTTTATACCTACCTGTCTTGTCCCTATCTTTCTTGTCCCTATCTTGTCTTGTCACACCTATCTGTCTTGTCCCTCTCTTGTGACACTTATCTGTCTTGTCCCTATCTTGTCTTGTCACACCTATCTGTCTTGTCCCTATCTTTCTTGTCCCTATCTTGTCTTGTCACACCTATCTGTCTTGTCCCTATCTTGTCTTGTCACACCTATCTGTCTTGTCCCTCTCTTGTGACACTTATCTGTCTTGTCCCTATCTTGTCACACCTATCTGTCTTGTCCCTATCTTGTCACACCTATCTGTCTTGTCCCTCTCTTGTGACACTTATCTGTCTTGTCCCTATCTTTTTATACCTACCTGTCTTGTCCCTATCTTGTCACACCTATCTGTCTTGTCCCTATCTTTCTTGTCCCTATCTTGTCACACCTATCTGTCTTGTCCCTATCTTGTCACACCTATCTGTCTTGTCCCTATCTTTCTTGTCCCTATCTTGTCACACCTATCTGTCTTGTCCCTATCTTTTTATACCTACCTGTCTTGTCCCTATCTTATCACACCTACCTCTCCTGTCACACCTACCTGTCTTGTCCCCTTACACCTCTTGCCCTTTTCTTGTCCAACTCTTACACCTCTTGCCCTTTTCTTGTCCAACCCTTACCCTTCTTTATCCTTTCTTGTCTAGCCCTTACACCTCTTGTCCTTTCTTGTCCAACCCTTACACCTCTTGCCCTTTCTTGTCCAACCCTTACACCTCTTGTCCTTTCTTGTCCAACTCCTACACCTCTTGCCCTTTTCTTGTCCAACCCTTACACCTCTAGATCCTTTTTTGTCCAACCCTTCCACCTCTTGATCCTTTCTTGTCCAACCCTTACACCTCTTGATCCTTTCTTGTCAAACACTTACATCTCTTGTCCTTTTCTTTTCCAACCCTAACACCTCTTGTTCCTTTCTTGTCAAACCCTTACACCTCTAGATCCTTTCTTGTCAAACTCTTTCACCTCTTGCCCTTTCTTGTCGAACCCTTACACCTCTTGTCCTTTCTTGTCCAACCCTTCCACCTCTTGATCCTTTCTTGTCAAACCCTAACACCTCTTGCCCTTTTCTTGTCCAACCCTTACACCTCTTGTCCTTTCTTGTCCAACCCTAACATCTCTTGTCGTTTCTTGTCCAACCCTTCCACCTCTTGTTCTTTTTTGTCAAACCCTTACACCACTTGATCCTTTCTTGTCAAACCCTTACACCTCTTGTCCTTTTCTCATCCAAGCCTTACCCCTCTTGCCCTTTTCTTGTCAAACCCTTCCCCCTCTTGTCCTTTTCTTGTCAAACCCTTACCCCTCTTGTCCTTTTCTTATCCAAGCCTAACCCCTCTTGCCCTTTTCTTGTCAAACCCTTACCCCTCTTGTTCCTATCTTGTCTTGTCACAATCTTACCCTTCTTGTCCCTCCATTGTCACATCAACCTGTCTTGTCCCTATCTTGTCACACCTATCTGTATTGTCCCTATTTTGTCACACTTACCTGTCTTGTTACACCTACCTGTCTTGTCCCTATCTTATCACACCTACCTATCTTGTCACATCTACCTGTCTTGTCCTTTCTTTTCACACCTACCTGTCTTGTCCCTATCTTGTCTTGTCACACCTATCTGTCTTTTTTCTATTTTGTCAAACCTCCCTGTCTTGTCCCTATTTTGTCACACCTACCTGTCTTGTCCCTATCTTGTTATACCTACCTGTCTTGTCCCTTTCTTATCACACCTACCTCTCCTGTCACACCTACCTGTCTTGTCCCTATCTTTCTTGTCCCTATCTTGTCACACCTATCTGTCTTGTCCCTATCTTGTCACACCTATCTGTCTTGTCCCTATCTTGTCACACTTATCTGTCTTGTCCCTATCTTGTCACACCTATATGTCTTGTCCCTATGTTGTCACACCTACCTATCTTTTAATACCTATTTTTCTTGTCCCTATCTGTTGAATATTCAGCATGCATGTTCAGGGTCAATGATCATCTCTCAAGTAACGAGTTTTTCACCTTCATATATTAGAGATTGTTGCAAGGTGGTCATTAAAAAGGTGACAAAGCTAATATGATGTAACTTGTTGCAGGTCTACCGGAGGAGCTTCTGGACGTAATCACAGACAAGCAGATATCGAGTTACCTCGTCAACGACTATGACAAACACAGTCAATGTAATCACTCCAGTTCCCATGACAACTGTGAGATGGATAAAGACCGATATAAAACAGATCGACGTAAAAATAAAAACAAAAATAAATCCAGTATGTATACACAAAATAGAACAACCGAAGAACACATCAAATTCATTTTACAAGTTACTTGATGATAATGGTTGATGTGTAGAGCGTTACAAATCTCTAGAATGTACCTAGGTTATTACATGAAAAACGGTTGTGATCCCCATGCATTAACCATATATAGAACTACTAGTTATCAAAATACAAAAACCTTCGAGCTACAGAACTAACCTCAGAGTTTGCCTTTCGAAACCAGTACCATAGTCACTACACGGCTGAGATCCCCACCCTATAATCAGAGATACAAATTCTAGGCATGAAGAGACCATCAAAATCAGGTTACCAGGTTTGGTCTTGGTTTACTTTTTCCCTGGTAATTTAATAATTAGATCTTAACATGTAAACACGACTGTACAAATCTTATCTTCTTCATGGGAGATTGCCCCTAGTACCCTCTCGAGGGGGGTTTGGTCCTGGCCCATCATTATCCCCCCCCCCCCCCCCCCCCCATTCCTAGCATGTGGTGTCTGAAGTTTTATAATAGATATTTATCTAAATAACTACAATATGAAAAATTCATTGTGTTTTTATGAAAACAGCTATAAAGTAAAGCATGGAAATGGTGTAGGACATCTTTGTCAACTTTGTAAGTGTTGTTAGTATTAATTCGTGTAGTCATGTCATATGTTACAGGTAGCCTAAGTATATTTCAAAACTTTATGGAAAAAGTGGTGGAGCACCAGGTTTTTCAGCGGGGCATCATGTTTGCCATTCTTATCAACACTGTTGGTATGGGGATCGAATATCACAATCAGGTGAGTGAACAGAAATTGTACATACAGGTGTGTCCAGGTGTATCCAGATATACTTGTATATAGGTGTGTCAATATATACTTTTATATATATAGGTGTGTACGGATATACTTATATTAAGTGTGTATAAATATACTTGTATATACAGGTGTGTACAGATATACATGTATATATAGGTGTGTACATATATACTTGTATATATAGGTGGGTACAGATATACATGTATATACAGGTGGGTACAGATATACCTGTACAAATAGGTGTGTACAGAGATACTCATATATACAGATGTGTACAGATATACTTTTATATATAGGTATGTACAGATATACATGTATATACAGGTGTGTACAGATATACTTGTATATACAGGTGTGTACAGAGATATTCATATGTACAGGTGGGTACAGATATACTTGTATATATAGGTATGTACAGAGATACTCATATATACAGGTGTGTACAGATATACTTGTATATATAGGTGTGTACAGGTATGTACCATACATGTATATACAGGTGTGTACAGATGTGCTTGTATATATAGGTGTGTACAGATATACTTGTATATATAGGTGTGTACAGATATACATGTATTATATATAGGTGTGTACAGATATACTTGTATATACAGGTGTGTACAGATATACATGTATATATAGGTGTGTACATATATACACGTATATATAGGTGTGTACAGATATACTTGTATATATAGGTGGGTACAGATATACATGTATTATATACAGATGTGTACAGATATACTTGTATATACAGGTGTGTACAGATATACATATATATACAAGTGTGTACAGAGATACTCATATATACAGGTGGGTACAGATATACTTTAAGTATTATATTGATGACAGGTGATATAGATACATGGTTTACCTGAGAGTTATATTGATGACAGGTGATATAGATACATGGTTTACCTTAGTGTTATACTGATGACAGGTGATGTAGATACATGGTTTACCTTAGTGTTATACTGATGACAGGTGATATAGATACATGGTTTACCTGAGTGTTATACTGATGACAGGTGATATAGATACATGGTTTACCTTAGTGCTATACTGATGACAGGTGATGTAGATACATGGTTTTCCTGAGAGTTATATTGATGACAGGTGATGTAGATACATGGTTTACCTGAGAGTTATATAGATGACAGGTGATATAGATACATGGTTTACCTGAGTGTTATACTGATGACAAGTGATGTAGATACATGGTTTACCTGAGTGTTATACAGATGACAGGTGATGTAGATACATGGTTTACCTGAGTGTTATACACATGACAGGTGATGTAGATACATGGTTTACCTGATGGTTATATTAATGACAGGTGATGTAGATAAATAGTTTACATGAGTGGTGTACTGATGACAGGTGATGTAGATACATGGTTTGCCTGAGAGTTATATTGATGACAGGTGATATAGATACATGGTTTGCCTGAGTGTTATACTGATGACAAGTGATATAGATACATGGTTTACCTAAGTTTTATATTGATGACAGGTGATATAGATACATGGTTTACCTGAGTGTTATATTAATGACAGGTGAGGAAGATAAATAGTTTACATGAGTGGTATACTGATGACAGGTGATGTAGATAAAAAGTTTACCCGAGTGTTATACAGATGACAGGTGATGTAGATACATGGTTGACCTGAGTGGTATACTGATGACAGGTGATGTAGATACATGGTTTACCTGAGTGGTATACTGATGACAGGTGATGTAGATAAAAAGTTTACCTGAGTGTTATACAGATGACAGGTGATGTAGATACAAAATATGGTTTACCTAAGTGTTATATTGATGACAGGTGATGTAGATACATGATGACAGGAGATATAGATACATTGTTAACCTAAGTGTTATATTGATGACATGTGATATAGATACATGGTTTACCTAAGTGTAATATAGATGACAGGTGATGTAGATACAAGGTTTACCTGAGTGGCATACTGATTACAGGGGATGTAAATAAAAAGTTTACCTGAGTGTTATACAGACGACAGGTGATGTAGATACATGGTTTACCTAAGTTTTATATTGATGACAGGGGATATAGATACATGGTTTACCTGAGTGGTATAATGATGACAGGTGATGTAGATAAAAAGTTTACCTGAGTGTTATACAGACGACAGGTGATGTAGATACATGGTTTACCTGAGTGTTATACTGATGACAGGTGATATAGATACATTGTTAACCTAAGTGTTATATTGATGACAGGTGATGTAGATAAATGATTTACCTAAGTGTTATATTGATGACAGGTGATATAGATACATGGTTTACCTAAGTGTTATATTGATGACAGGTGATGTAGATACATGGTTTACCTAAGTGTTATATTGATGACAGGTGATGTAGATACATGGTTTACCTGAGTGTTATATTGATGACAGGTGATGTAGATACATGGTTTACCTGAGTGTTATATTGATGACAGGTGATGTAGATACATGGTTTACCTGAGTGTTATATTGATGACAGGTGATGTAGATACATGATTTACCTGAGTGTTATACTGATGACAGGTGATGTAGATACATGGTTTACCTGAGTGTTATATTGATGACAGGTGATGTAGATACATGGTTTACCTGAGTGTTATATTGATGACAGGTGATGTAGATACATGGTTTACCTGAGTGTTATATTGATGACAGGTGATGTAGATACATGGTTTACCTGAGTGTTATATTGATGACAGGTGATGTAGATACATGGTTTACCTGAGTGTTATATTGATGACAGGTGATGTAGATACATGGTTTACCTGAGTGTTATACTGATGACAGGTGATGTAGATACATGGTTTACCTAAGTGTTATATTGATGACAGGTGATGTAGATACATGGTTTACCTGAGTGTTATACTGATGACAGGTGATGTAGATACATGGTTTACCTAAGTGTTATATTGATGACAGGTGATGTAGATACATGATTTAATTAAGTATAATATAGATGACAGGTGATGTAGATACATGGTTTACCTAAGTGTTATATTGATGACAGGTGATGTAGATACATGATTTACCTGAGTGTTATACTGACGACAGGTGATGTAGATACATAGTTTACCTGAGTGGTATACTGATGACGGGGATGTAGATAAATAGTTTACCTGAGTGTTATACAGATGACAGGTGATGTAGATACATGGTTTACCTAAGTTTTATATTGATGACAGGTGATATAGATACATGGTTTACCTGAGTGTTATACTGATGACAGGTGATATAAATACATGGTTTACCTGAGTGTTATATTGATGACAGGTGATGTAGATACATGATTTACCTGAGTGTTATACTGATGACAGGTGATATAGATACATGGTTTACTTGAGTGTTATATTGATGACAGGTGATGTAGATACATGATTTATCTAAGTGTTATATTGATGACAGGTGATATAGATACATGGTTTACCTTAGTGTTATATTGATGACAGGTGATGTAGATACATGGTTTACCTAAGTGTCATATTTATGACAGGTGATATAGATACATGGTTTACTTGACTGTTATATTGATGACAGGTGATGTAGATATAGATACATGGTTTACCTAAGTGTAATATGGATGACAGGTGATGTAGATACATGGTTTACCTGAGTGTTATATAGATGAAAGGTGATGTAGATACATGGTTTACCTAAGTGTCATATTGATGACAGGGGATATAGATACATGGTTTACCTGAGTGTTATATTGATGACAGGGGATGTAGATACATGATTTACCTGAGTGTTATACTGATGACAGGTGATATAGATACATGGTTTACTTGAGTGTTATATTGTTGACAGGTGATGTAGATACATGATTTATCTAAGTGTTATATTGATGGCAGGTGATATAGATACATGGTTTACCTAAGTGTAATATGGATGACAGGTGATGTAGATACATGGTTTACCTAAATGTTATATTGATGACAGGTGATATAGATACATGGTTTACCTGAGTGTTATACTGATGACAGGCGATGTAGATACATGGTTTACCTGAGTGTTATATAGATGAAAGGTGATGTAGATACATGGTTTACCTAAGTGTCATATTTATGACAGGTGATATAGATACATGGTTTACTTGAGGGTTATATTGATGACAGGTGATGTAGATACATGGTTTACCTGAGTGTTATATAGATGACAGGTGATGTAGATACATGGTTTACCTAACTGTTATATTGATGACAGGTGATATAGATACATGGTTTACCTTAGTGTTATACTGATGACAGGTGATGTAGATACATGGTTTTTTCTGAGTGTTATATTGATGTATGCTATATATGTAGATACTTGACACATATGTTTTTTGGGGTTTTTTTTCCAGCCGATTGAACTTACCCAAGCAGTGGAGTACAGCAATATTGTATTTTGTGTCCTGTTTGCCCTGGAGATGTTATTCAAACTGATGGCATATGGACTCTTTGGCTACATCCAAAATGGATTCAATGTGTTTGATGGTTTTATCGTAATTCTCAGGTAAATATTTTTGTTTTAACCGTATCAACCAACAAACAATCAAACCCATCACTTTAAAGAAGTAGCCATTTCAATTCATTAATTATTTTTGCTGTTACTCTCATTCTATGTCTGTCATTGGGAACTGGTTGTAAACAATTTAACTTTTTTGACATTTTAAGAACTGCTGCAACAATTAACTTTTAACTTCATAAAATATTTAATGTCATGTCCTGACCACATGCTTTTCTTGTTGATCTGAAAATCCAAGATGGCCATTAACCTAAATGCTGAATGCTGGTGTAAATGTGTTAAAACTGTAGGTTGTTATGGTGTAAATGAGTTATAATGAAGGTTGTTATGGTGTAAATTTGTTATAATGAAGGTTGTTATGATGTAAATGTGTTATAATGGAGGTTGTTATGGTGTAAATGAGTTATAATGAAGGTTGTGATGGTATATATGTGTTATAATGAAGGTTGTTATGATGTAAATGTGTTATAATGAAGGTTGTTATGGTGTAAATGCATTTTAATAAAGGTTGTTATGGTGTAAATGTGTTATTATGAAGGTTGTTATAGTGTAAATGTGTTATAATGAAGGTTGTTATTGTGTAAATGATTTATAATGAAGGTTATGATGATGTAAATGAGTTATAATGAAGGTTGTTATTGTGTAAATGTGTTATAATGAAGGTTGTCATGGTGTAAATGAGTTATAATGAAGGTTGTTATGATGTATATGTGTTATCATGAAGGTTGTTATGGTGTATATGTGTTATTTTGAAGGTTGTGTTGGTGTAAATGAGTTACAATGAAGGTTGTGTTGGTGTAAATGTGTTATAATGAAGGTTGTTATGATGTATATGTGTTATTATGAAGGTTGTTATGGTGTATATGTGTTATTATGAAGGTTGTTATGGTGTATATGTGTTATTACAAAGGTTGTTATGGTGTATATGTGTTATTAGTGCCCCGTATCGGAGATACGGGTGCCCTATAGTAATCACTCTGTCTGTCTGTCTGTCTGTCTGTCTGTCTGTCCGTCCACAAATTTTGTTCCTGGCTGATAACTTTGGTATTTATTGACCGATGTACATGAAACTTGTCAAGATGTTCAGTTCACAAAAATACACATTGAGGTAAAAAGTCAAGGTCATAGGTCAAGGTCATTACGTTCAAAGGTCAAGGTCAAATTTTACATCTTTTCATTGATGAACATTTTGTTATGACATCATGAAGCAAAGTTGATCAGAATTAAACAAGGAGTCAACTGACTAAAGGTCAAGGTCATCGGGTGAGGGGTCAAGGTAAAATTTTGTAGCTTTTTACTGGTGAACATTTCACTATGACATTATGAAGCAATGTTGCTTAGAATTAAACAAGGAGTCAATTGACCAAAGGTCAAGGTCACTGGGTCAAAGGTGAAGGTTAAATTTGTACCTTTTCCCTGATGAACATTTTGTTATGACATTATGAAGCTATGTTGTTCAGAACTTAACACAGAGTCAACTGACCTTAGGTCCAGGTAACGGGGTCCAAAGGGTCAAGGTCAAGTTTTGTATTTTTCACTGATTAACATTTTGTTATGATATTAAGAAGCAAAGTTGGTCGGAATTAAGAATATGTCAACTGACCAAAGATCAGGGTCAGTGGGTTAATGGTCAAGGTTATTTGTGTCCAAAGGTCAAAGACAAAGTGGATCTCTGACTTTGACCCTGGCTTTTGATGGAGGAGGTATATAAGGTGAAATAAAACAAATCAAAGCTAACAAATGAGTATTGCACCGGTATTTACATTTCTGTTAGCCCAGCAAATATGGAAGTGGAAGGAAACAAGACTCACATCATAGTATATGTAAAATGTATATTTTGCTTCCTTGCGATTATTTTTGAAGTCCATATGTCAAACGTCAAGCTCAGCTATATGGGCAGATTGCTTCTTGATGATTATGGGGGATATATTGCCACAAGGCGTGGCCCTTACTGACCTGTCAGTGTTCTAGTTATGAAGGTTGTGTTGGTGTAAATGAGTTATAATGAAGGTTGTTATGGTGTATATGTGTTATTATGAAGGTTGTGTTGGTGTAAATGTGTTATAATGAAGTTTGTGTTGGTGTAAATGTGTTATTATGGAGGTTGTTATGGTGTATGTGTGTTATTATGAAGGCTGTGTTGGTGTAAATGTGTTATAATGAAGGTTGTGTTGGTGTAAATGTGTTATAATGAAGGTTGTGTTGGTGTAAATGTGTTATAATGAAGGTTGTGTTGGTGTAAATGTGTTATTATGAAGTTTGTTTTGGTGTAAATGAGTTATAACGAAGGTTGTGTTGGTGTATATGTGTTATTATGAAGGTTGTGTTGGTGTAAATGAGTTATAATGAAGGTTGTTATGGTGTATATGTGTTATTATGAAGGTTGTGTTGGTTTAAATGAGTTATAACGAAGGTTGTGTTGGTGTAAATGTGTTATAATGAAGGTTGTTATGATGTAAATGTGTTATAATGAAGGTTGTTATGGTGTAAATGTGTTAAATCTGTAGGTTGTTACGTTGTAAATTTCTTTTAGCTGAAGGTGTTTATGGTTGGAATTTTTCCAAATAAGCTGTTGATCAATGGAAGATTGAAGTAAAGGACTTCAGTAGGGATTATCTGGTGGCATCTTAAACATCAGTTTCTCTATAGTAATTAGTTTATACCAGAAGTTATTATTAGTGAAAATATGGCAGGACTGGAGCAGGTTGTCACCTGTATATCTGTTATAAACTGTTTATATGTACAATTTATGTTCTTATGTTACAGCATTATAGAACTGCTGCAGGAAGACGAGAATAGTGGGCTGTCTGTATTACGAACATTCCGTCTACTGCGTATCCTAAAACTGGTACGCTTCCTGCCAGCTCTGCGGCGCCAGCTGGTGGTCATGCTGCGTACCATGGACAACGTGGCCACCTTCTTTGCTCTTCTTGTCCTGTTCATCTTTATCTTCAGGTATTTGTCTTTACAGTCTGCTTTTTTTTTTTTCGTTATCATTTAAAATGTTTATAATGAACTAACATAACTTGAAAATCATTTCTTGTCCACAGTGATAGTCTGTATTTATAGGAAAGACTAATTACTTTAACACACATTTATGTAATGAGAAATAAGGAAGAAGACCCCTTCATGAGCTGTAATAATCTATGTATCTAGTTTTGTTTTTCAAATATGCGTGGTTTCCGGACGAGGTATTGATAATTTTTGTGATTTACATGAAATGAATGTGGCCAATTTGTCCTCACATAAGGAGAAAAAAAACGAAAAATACCAGTCATGAATTACTGAGAAAATCAAATTGTTGAAAAACATATTTAAGATATAACATAGAAAATTGCAGAAAATTGATAGATCTTTGAAGAAATTGGTAAATCATGTGAGGAGAAATTGACTGTATATTGAATAGTTCTAGATCATAAACTAATAAAATAGTGTCATTTTGTTGATTTCTATATGATCTATACAGCTTATGTTACTTGTGAATTTTCTGTAGACATTATGATAGAGTTTCTGTTGCTATATCTGGTGTTCTTTTTCTGCTTCCTGGTCCTGTGCTATAGACATCTAAAATGTCACCATTGCCTTTCATTAGCATCCTGGGGATGAACTTATTCGGGTGTAAGTTCTGTCGCAGAGTGAACGGTCGCAAGTACTGTAATCGCAAGAACTTTGATTCCCTTCTATGGGCCATAGTCACAGTGTTCCAGGTACACAGTTGTCACTAACGTACTAATGTGTCCGTGGACAGATCCTGCTTTAGTGTGTGACCAGATGTCCTAGCGTACTAATACCTGCACGAACTTATCTTCTCCGTTTGTATAGAGCTGTCACTGTGACGTCCTGTATGTGTAGATGAGGTGGTGTGCTGTTATTGTCGTGTGACATTCATGAGCCACATTTGTCCAGCTGATGTAAACGTCTTTCCCTGCTGAGATGCACCAGCCTCAAAATTCCCTGCCAACACAACAGCTGATCACGGCTAATACAATCACTTCCCTTCAAAGTAGAGTACTGTATGTTACATTTACCTCCCTTTTCTAGTTGTGCATTGAAGATTTCACCTCACTGTTTTTACAGATCAGTTTTCACTCCAGTTTGTTGAGAATGTCCGAGCTGACGAAGTTGATCAAACCTTTTCTGTTTTCCTGTTTTCTAGTTGTGATTTAAGTTATCACTTTATCTGCGTCAGCTCTGCTGAATGACAAGGCTGGCTAGGACACTGTTTTATCATCAGAATGATTGATAAGGGCATTTGAAACAGGATTTTTTAAAACTGTCTAAAAAAAGTATTTATTAAAATTATGAAGAAAACAGGAAAATTTATGATGAAAAATAGTAGACTTTATTTATTTTTAAGAATAATGTAAAAAATATATTAGCTTAAATTCATCAATGTTACTTGCCCATATAAAAGTGCACAGGAGGTCTTAATGTGAGAGGAAAAGGAGTACCATGAGAAAAAGCCCATTTGGAGGGGGAGATGACCCATATATTTCCATGTTGGATGAGGGAATCAAGCCCTGGCTGTCTTGGTGAACGGCGAGTTCAATATCGACTGGCCATGTGACTACCCCAGTATATGATGAAAGCCTAATGATAGGTTGTTGGCACACTGACCTTATTCATCCATTGGAAAAGCTGCTTGTAGCATTACATCTAAATGCGTGCTCACAATTTCATTGCATAGATAGTTTAATTTAAAAAACGTCAGTGATGAATGTTCTAAATTTTGGCTGTGTGGAATTATGTCAAGAACATTTCAATAAAATCATGTGGTGTTTGGGTTCATTTCCAAATATAATTTATAGCCTATCTTTGTTTGCTATTGACTTACACTAATGAAACTGGCAGCCTGTCAGAACACCTCCCCAATAGATGTGTGGATGATGTTTTCTACTGGATAGAGATTAAACAACGTTTACTTTAGCCGGTCCAATCAAACAACACCCCTCACATGTATAACCAACCTCCAACCCATCATATCCCAGTCAATATCTGGGTCAATCATCATTGTCTCAGCCAATCACATCAAGTGTACCAGTTGTACTGAAAGCCCTATATGGACTCGAGCTGTTTTTACATGATGATCGTATTCAGGATACGTCTGTTTTTAAAATAGTTTTTCTTAACTTTATTCTTCTTCTCTTCTCTATGTTTTTCTTTTGTCATTCTACATGTCACATATATATATATTTATATGATTTATGTCAAATATTTCCTGTACTGAAATAATTCTATATAGATGTCATCTTAAGTCTTTTTCATTGTCACGCTCTGTCTTCATAACATCTTCTGTATTGGTTCATTGTCTCACTCTGTCTTCATAACATCTTCTGGATTGGTTCATGGTCTGACTCTGTCTTCATAACATCTTCTGTTTTGGTTCATTGTCTCACCCTGTCTTCATAACATCTTATGTATTGGTTCATTGTCTCACCCTGTCTTCATAACATCTCCTGTATTGGTTCATTGTCACACTCTGTGTTCATAACATCTTCTGTTTTGGTTCATTGTCACACTCTGTTTTCATAACATCTTCTGTTTTGGTTCATTGTCACACTCTGTTTTCATAACATCTTCTGTTTTGGTTCATTGTCACAGTCGGTCTTCATAACATCTTCTGGATTGGTTCATTGTCTCACCCTGTCTTCATAACATCTTATGTATTGGTTCATTGTCACACTCTGTTTTCATAACATCTTCTGTTTTGGTTCATTGTCTCACCCTGTCTTCATAACATCTTATGTATTGGTTCATTGTCACACTCTGTTTTCATAACATCTTCTGTATTGGATCATTGTCTCACTCTGTCTACATAACATCTTCTGCATTGGTTCATTGTCTCACCCTGTCTTCATAACATCTTCTATATTGGTTCATTGTCACACTCTGTTTTCATAACATCTTCTGTTTTGGTTCATTGTCACACTCTGTGTTCATAACATCTTCTGTTTTGGTTCATTGTCACAGTCGGTCTTCATAACATCTTCTGTTTTGGTTCATTGTCACACTCTGTTTTCATAACATCTTCTGTTTTGGTTCATTGTCACACTCTGTTTTCATAACATCTTCTGTTTTGGTTCATTGTCACAGTCGGTCTTCATAACATCTTCTATATTGGTTCATTGTCACACTCTGTTTTCATAACATCTTCTGTTTTGGTTCATTCTCACACTCTGTCTTCATACATCTTCTTTATTGGTTCATTGTCACACTCTGTTTTCATAACATCTTCTGTTTTGGTTCAGGGTCACACTCTGTCTTCATAACATCTTCTTTATTGGTTCATTGTCACACTCTGTCTTCATAACATCTTCTGTATTGGTTCATTGTCTCACTACTATTCTCGCTTCATTTTCATTATTAGGTCACCTGAGCTTTGCTTAAGTGACCTATTCTAATCACTTTCCGTCCGTCGTCGTGCGTCGTCCGTCGTCGTGCGTCGTCGGTCGTGCATAAATTTTTTACATTTTCAACTTCTTCTCAAGAACCAGTGGATTGATATTTTTCAAACTTGGTCAGAATAACCCTTGATAGATGAGGCTACAAAATTGTAAAATTGGGATTCCCACCCCAACCCCTGGGGCCAGGGCGGCGCCCCATAGGGAAAATTAACCAATATTTCAAAAATCTTCTTCTCCAGACTCAGAGATACTACAGTCATTTTCTCTGCATGGAAAGAAAGATCATCAGGGGCTTTACATAATTGTAAATTTCAGGACCCCTGATCTAATTGTTCTCCCTTGGGGAGGGGGTAAAGATTACTATAGTTTATATAGGGAAATAACACTTTTGGGTATATTTTGACAACTTTCTGTAGGAAATTATTTTTTTTACTTTGTGAGAATCATTCTTGGAGGACGATGGTTTCAAATTGTAAAATTGAGACTCCTACCCCCAGAGGTACTACAGTCATTTTCTCTGCATGGAAAGAAAGATCATCAGGGGCTTTATTTAAATTGTAAATTTCGGGACCCCCGAGCTATCCGTTCTCCCTAAGGGAGGGGGTAAAGTTTACTATAGTTTATATAGGGGAATAACACTTTTGGGTATATTTTATCCATTTTCAGCAGAAAATTACTCAAACTTAGTCAGAATCATCTTTGTTGAATGAGAGTATTACTTTGTAAAATTGGGATTCCTGCCCCATATCCAGGGGCTAGGGCGGGGCCCCAAAGGGAATGTTTACCAATATTTTCAAATTATTATCCTTTGATGACGACAAGTATTGTATTTCACTTAGTTTACATGCTGATTTCCACATCACATCTAAACAATAAAATAAAGCTACCAGTACCTATAATATAACTCGGGTGACCGCTTAGGCCCTTGGACCTCTTGTTTAGCTAAGGACTATGGTGAGCTTAGCCATACGTCAACAATTGCTTTAAACGACTTTTTCTTCTTAACCACTGATTGGAATTTAACTAAATTTGACTGGAAGCATCTCTAGGTGGTGGGGATTCCAAATTGTATAAATAGTGGGTCTGACCCCCCAGGGGACTGAGGGGCGGGGCGAAAAGTGGGCTAATTGGCTATAATGCTTTAAGCGACTTCTTCTCTCGAACTGAGACATTGAGGTAAAAAGTCAAGGTCAAAGGTCAAGGTCATTAGGTTCAAAGGTCAAGGTCAAATTTTACATCTTTTCACTGATGAACATTTTGTTATGACATTATGGAGCAAAGTTGATCAGAATTAAACAAGGAGTCAACTGACATAAGGTCAAGGTCATTGGGTCAGGGGTCAAGGTCAAATTTTGTAGCTTTTCACTGGTTAACATTTCGCTATGACATGAGGCAAAGTTGTTCGGAATTAAACAAAGAGACACACTGGGGTAAAAAAAAAGTCAAGGTCAAAGGTCAAGGTCATTAGATTCAAAGGTCAAGGTCAAATTTTGTATCTTTTCACTGGTGAACATTTCGCTATGACACTTTGAAGCAATGTTGCTCAGGATT